TCGAATTCACAGCATATATTTTCACCCATTGTAGTGATGTGTTTTTATGGGTTTCAACATTCGTTAATGCAATACATGCCACTTCAATTTAATCCACACATTGAGCCTCCCCTGTTTGAGTGTGAGAGCAGCAGCCGCCCTTGCTTCACAGCTTAGCTCTATTTATCAGCAGCTCAGAATTACATGTATGATGGTGACTACTGGTGTAAAATATGACAAAAAAAAAGCCCCTAAATTATTTACCCCCTAACAGTAAGTTTGTGTAATTATTGTGTGTTCATTATTGTTCTTGAGGATTTGTAAACAGACTGCTGTACAGTATGCCTCATAGTTTTCAATAAAGGTGTAGGGGAAAAAATATGATATAAACTTCTATTTTAAATGATAGAAAATGTGACATTTTGTACCGTCCTTTTTATTCTGATGCCTATTTCTGAGGCATGAGGATGTTTTAAAATGTATATGTCAGCAATATTCATGGTTTCCTTTATGGTAAACTTTTTTTGTCCTGATGTTTTACTTTTGGTATTTATATTTTTCAGATAGAGTGCAGAAAAAACTGAAAGAAAACATCTCTTTAAATTCTTGAGACAAGTAACAATGAGTGAAGAGTTTGCACAATAAGGGTTTTTATTGTTAAGTGTACAGATACTTCTCAATCATATTTGTCCAATTAATGATGAACAGAAGTATTCTGGTTAACAGCAGGTCTTGATTCTGAAATGAGATCAAATAGTCAAAGATTATCAATAAAACTCAACCACTTCAATGAAGAAAATTCCAAATATCAGTTATCAAAAGTAAAATAACAATAACAATCATACACAGAGCAGAAATGTCAAAAACCAGCTTTAACTTGTTTGTCACTCACATGATGATTACAGGTTAAGTAATTGTTGAAGTAGTTGAAGAATGAGTGCATTCAGGTTAGGTGCAGCAGTTGTAGCGCCTGCTGCTGTGGTTGTGGTCGTGGTGGTCTTAGAGGAAATTAAGGAAAAATGATCATCATACACAGCAGAGGACTTTCACAGTGATATTATATTAAAAGAGGATCAGTTCAGACTCTCACCTCATCTGAATCAGAATCAGATGAGTCAGAGCGGGCAAAACGCTGGTGCTCCATCTGTACAAGGTTTGACAATACCTGTATTAAACTTTTTTATATCAAATACTAGTTTTTATGAAATTAAACATAATTTTATGCTTACAGGTTCGGCCACAATGAGGCTCAGGAGGCATCCGAGAACAAGTGCTACCTTCAGCATGGTTACAGTGATCTGACCTTTTGTACAACAAAGTTTAAATTACTTTCTAAAAGACACATTGGTGAAAGTCTGTAGACTGGATGAAAAAAATAATTACAGAAACTATCAGGTCCTCTTACCTTCAGTTGGCTTCTTTAGAGACAAGTGAAGAGGCTGTAATGTTGCTTTCTGGATGTTGAAGTTCTCTTTTATACCTTTACAGATGTACAAGTGTTTCAAAACTGGGATTACATTTTTCACCAACTTGTTTCAAGGCGTGTTTGAGAATTAAAGACTTAAACCTATTACATTGTGGGCAAATATCCCTGAGTGTTATTTGGATTACTTACAGTGAAGTAAAAAAAATATATAGAATTTGCATGTCAAAAAAAAAGAAAAAAATAATTACAGCCTATTGTTTTGAGGCAGAAAATTTGTTTAGATGTGGCAAAGATAATTGATTGATTAGTGTACTACCTGAATTAGAGAACATTTCCTCTGAGGAGACTATCAAAATTCGATGACAGTGGAGCTATAGTAAAAAATCATTGATCTGAACTTATGTATTCATTATAATGAGATTTACATTCAGGGAAATTTACATTTTTAATTTCAGCCGATGACATCGCCACCCGAGCAGACATTAGAGCTTCAGTGGTTCAGTATATCAGCTTACCATTCCTCTGCTTCCACTGAATATAACAATTGTCATCTTTATTTAGCTGAGGAGACTGAGGTTCTTTGGAGTGCATCAGCCATCTTCTATGGAGCTTTCTGTTGGAGTATTGGCTAATCTGTAGCTCAGTTGAAGCTGCTGGAAAAGCTGATCAGGAAGGTCAGCTCTGTGATAGAATGCCTCCTGGACTCAGTGCAGGAGGTGGGAAACAGAAGGACCCTAACTAAAATCACATTTCTGTTGGATAATGTCTCCCACCCCATGCATGAAGCTGTTGCTGAACTGGAAAGCTCCTTCAGTGACAGACTGCTGCACCCTAAATGCACCAGGGGGCATTATCACAGATCCTTCCTCTCAGCAGCTGCAAGGCTTTATAACCACCACTGTTCCCAACAGCCCCAATAAGTTGTTACATTCATGCTGATTTTGCACTTTATGTATTGGTCATTTAAATAACCTGCTGCTGTCATTTTGCACAACTCTGATGTTGCTGCCATTTTCCCATGTGCAGTACTGCAAAAATGTGCACAGCTGTATATTGATTATTTATTCTTCAAGTGACTGCAGAGTATTTATATTTGTAAAAATACTGTTTGTTTCAGTATTTTATTTTGTTTATTTTTTTTAACTCTGCCACTTATTTTGTTATATAATATATCCTTTTAAGATCGACATTTGTGTGACCACTTTTGCTGTAATGCCTTTGCTGCTCTAACACCACAATTTTCCCATTATGGGACAATAAAGGGATTTTCTCATCTATTAATGAGTGTTTCACAATTTTTGTAGTTCACAAGCTTCCCAGATCCTTCAGTTTAGACCTGTAGTTTTATTGCATCCTAAAATAAGCACTTTTAAAAGGCATCTTCCCTTGAGTAAGCTAAAGCGATATGAAAATAACCTCCTGGGAGACTGGAAGATGCTGCAAGATGATATCCAGGAAGAGCATTTCCTATATGCACACAAAGTACAGATTGTCTGGATACAAGGGTTAATGGAGAGCTTGTGACACCTTGCTGTACGATGTGTCCATGACATCTTGTCTAAATAAGTGCTTAAAAAAAAAACAAGCATATTCATAAAAATAAAAAAATCAAAGTAAATCCATAATGCCATCCTAACTACATTAATATTTTATTTTTTCAGTCTAAAGCAGACTGACTAAACACAATTGAACAGTTACTGAGAGTAACACTTGCTATTACTTGTAATTGTTACAGCATATCCAGCAATATGAATAAAATATTAATGATAATCTTTCTGTTTTTGTCTGCAAAAAAACAGACTTACAGTAAAAAAAAAAAAA